AGTCTATACAATACGCCGTTGCACTCTGCGGCTTGCAGCAGCGTGGAGGCGGTTGCGGTGGTGTTTCGGTCTGATCGACCCGATAGAACGACCGTGGTGCGAGTGTGCGACCGTGTATTTACGTTGCGTTCACGGGCAACGACGCGGCGCCACGCGACAATACCACCGAGCTCCACGATTTCGTAGCGCGCGTGCGCGTGCGCGCATCAAACACYATATGAGAGGTGCACGCGGCATCCCTTATTATTATACGTGGAAAAAAAAGGAAGATATTTCATCAGCGCTATGTTTTTGCCGCGCACCGTTTTTTAAACATTCCGACATATCCCTCCCCTGTGCGGCCACCGACGCCACCGCCGCATACCTTATATATAYATATTATGCCTACCCGGTGTACATTTTTCGTTCACGAAACGAACAATAATATAGTGTAATCCACGCCGTTTCCGGTGTGCGCCGCGCGTGTTCGCGTATACGAAGCATTATACCCATTATGTTATACATCGAAATGTAGTGCACGAATAATATGGCCGAGGACATCCGTTAAAACCGCACTCGGCGGCGCTGCAGCGATACCACATACTTCGCGAGCGTAGTGAGACGGGCACCCGGTTTCTTCTCCTCTCCGCGGGTCGCGTTATTCCCCCCCGCACTTACTGACGTCCCCTACCGCCGTCACTCGTCGGTTAGAACGGCGGCGCGCACGTAAAACGTCCCCCGGAAAAACGAATCCGGGCTAGTGGGGGGGAGGCCCTCCCCGCCTTAGACACGAATTCGCCGTGCGCGTCCATCTGCAATGATCGGTGCAACGGATGCGCTGCGCAGATCCGTGTTCGAGAAAAAAAACCAACAACAACAACAACAACAATAACAACAACGGAGCACCAGCCACAGCAGAGCCAAAACACGCGGTGGCGGTGCGCGTGTACACAAAACGCCGCCGCCGTCTACAAGCAGCAGCAGCAGCACCAGCACCAGCAGCACCAGCACCAGCACCAGCAGCAGGCCGTCGGCTGAGCCACGCTATTATAACTTCGGTTCGGYCGTCCACGTTTAGTGTTGGAACTGCCCCGGTGTGCAGGCGAACAGCAAGGCGGCGGCGCGCTGCAACCCGCGCGCGCACAGACACACGCACACACGCAAGCGCGCGATCGGCGCACGCACACACACACACACACGCAAACATACACACACACGCGCGCGCGCGCGCGGATACGATATATTATTATATCAGTAGTGCTCTATCGCAAGTAGGTGGTAAACATTACACATTGTTTTGTTTTCGCTATTTCAGTTTATTTAAAATTTTTTTTATAGTTATGTATACGTTTTTATTTATGTTGGTGTAATTATTTTTAATAATTATTTATATGTAATTTTATTATTCGCCATACTTTTGTATTATTATTTTTTWTTGTTATTATTATTATTTATTTAACGCCGTACATAACATATATTATTTTATATATAGCTACATTATAGGTACGTACGAAAACAATATAATACCTACTCGTTATATTTAGGTATAGGTACTCTAAAGTCTGCTTAATTGCTCTTTGCTTGGCCTATTATATTTTATTATTTAATCGTTATCGTTAATTTTTATTACAATATTATATCGCGGTATTTTTGTTATTAATATTATTATGGTTATTCGCACGACCGTGTTCGATATTATTTTCGTATTGCACTATGCATGCATATTATTATTTCGCTCGCTTTGTCTCGTCGCAGTCGTCTACATCGTACATGTGCGTGTGCTTAGGATAATAATTCACGTTTTTAGGTATAAAGTGCATTATACATCGTACGTGTGTACATGATGTGTAAAATTATGTCGATGACCGATGTAGTTCACGTTTTTTTTTTTCTGCGTCTTGGTCTTATCTCCGTCGACGTAACCAAAAAACAACAACAATGTCGCTTGTCGTCGAATAATAATAATATTGTTATATTGATCCCGTCGGTGTGTCTCGCTCCGTGTCAGACTGCTTGGAGTGTGTTCACACACAGTAAAAATATGTTTCTGCCGCGTATTGTTTTGGCGCCAATTATTAATCAAAATCTCCGACGACGATAACGGCGCCGACACTTAATTTTTCTGTCACGATCGATCCACCGCGTTCCGACATTGCTATTCGACACTATAATAATAATA